GACTGTCTGGTCGTACTGAGGGTACTACATAGTAAAGAAAAATATATCTCAGGGGCGATAACAGGACAATATAGGTAGTATAGTCATCATTATTCAATCTTGATGCATGATGAAAACCTCCTCTTTTTTAAATCGGTTAGATTATGATCGTATCAAACACTGTTGTTACAAATTAAAAGTATCTACCAACCCTTACCTACCTAGACACAAGTCCAAAAACTTGACGAGAGTACATTACAAGTATGCAAGTACTCACCTGAAGTAGGTATTTATGTAGTTATTCTATTTCGATAGTTACATTTATATATACCTAATGTGTAGGTAAAATTTATTTACAATTTAAAAATTGTAAAAATTTAAAGGTAGGAAGGTATGTACCTTCCTACCTTTAAATTTTTACATTTAGATTTTTTAGGATATCAATGGCCTTGTGTATGTTTATGATAAAGTAAATAATTATATTTTTATATTTAATAAAATGAAGTACTTACTTATTTTGTATAAATTATTGAAAAGGTTCCATAACAAATCAATTAATGTTGAGAAAGTTTGGTGACTAGACCAGACCACCAGAGGTATTCTTAATTAATTACGTACTTTATAACGTAAATTAAAATTTAAAAAAATGTGTTATGTATTGTATCAATATTAATTTCTAGTCGGTAATGTGATAAATACCTCCCTATATTATTTTCCAGAAATCCAATTTCCTCTCGCGGCATTTTTTTAACGGGACAGACAGAGCAAGGTAGAAATATTGCCCCGTTTGCCCGCCCGCCACAATTCAAGGTTAATTTAAAAGAAGGACTGGTGGTGGTATGTTTATCTAGCTCACTCGTATAGTAAATCAATAATGTTCTTTCGCTGCTTTGAAGTTCCAACACGCTCACACTGAATGAACGACCCCGCTCGAACGGCGCGAGGCGTCGCGAATGATATTTTTTCCTTCTTCCTCCTTCATTTTGTGTTCGGTGTTTGTGCGGTGAGCATTGCTGTCCGTTGTACGCAGCACGTGTTATTGAATTAATTACAAGTTTTTCGTATAAAACTAAAAAATAATAATGGCAGACGCAGCCGTCGACAAGAAGTAAGTGTAGTTGTGAAGTTCTGTCATATTTCATAAGATTTACAATATTTTGTTTTCGGCGCGGCTTCCAAACGTGATCAAAATGGCTTCCTATTTGTGTGAAATTCGTGTTTTTACCTATAAATTTTGTATCAGTTGTATTAAAAAGTTGACACACAGCCAGTTAGAGTACCTATCTATATTACAATAGTTTTTGATAACATTTGATAGTTTTGTGTTTGATATTAGTTTAGACGCCGACCGGGACGTACACGCGGGAAAAAGTTATCGTGTTGATAAGAGCAATGTTTTTGTTATTGAACACTCTTGATGTGCCTTTGATACTTATTGGAAGCGGTGGTATTGATTTTACTTGAAAGTTCTCCCTATTCTTTCGTATGTATGTAAAATAAAGGAAGGCCGAAGTTGTAAGCACGCCGGCGGCAAGCGCTTGGTTCAAGATGGCGCTGCATGCGCGGCGTGCCGGCGCGGCGCGTCATCGGCGCGCGCTCGTTTCAAATCGTCGAGAACCGAGTTTTGCAACTCCCTAGGTGGCGAGCAAAGTCGGTTACATTATCGCGAGGGCCGCGTGTTGTCATTACTTTATTTTTAACGCTTATGGTACGCTACGTTAGGCATAATACCGGATCTACTGGAGCGCGTTGTGTATTCTTTAACTAAAGCTGATGCCTACGTTCAGTTTCCTCTGTCGCAACTTTCCCACATGCAGCCTTGCGCAACAGCCACTTGTTTTTGTTCCGGTAAACTTTTCCTTTTATACCGGCCCACTTGGCAAGTGAGCATTCACAACACGAAGACGTAATGTATTGTTGTTATGAGCCGTTACTAACCGGCCTCTGAACGTTACGTTATTGCATACCTTGTACCGTAAAATTTATGTACTGATTTACCACTATGAATGCTTTATACTGTTACACTGTTTGTTAATTACGTGTATAATTTTACAGAGAAGTTGCGCCCGAAGAGGTTTCCTCTACTGAAGCGGCAAAGGAATCTCCAGTCAAAAAGTCGCCAGCAAAGAAGGTCGCCGAAGTTCCTGAAAGCAACGGCAAGGAAGAAAATGGCAGTGGAGATGCTCCTGAGGACACCCCAGCTGAGAATGGTGATGCTGAAGAGAGCAATGATGCCACAGAAAATGGGGATGCCACCGGTAAGTCTACATTTTAAATGTTAAATACTTCTCTGAAATTAATTAAAAACTTGATTCAATGAATTAATGTATAATTATATTTTTTTACAATGTTCAATGTGTCTTACAAAACTGTTTAGTTCCATGGGGAATATATAATAATAATAAAAAAAATGATTGTTTAAACATTTAAGTCTTCTTCAGAAAGCTTAAAAAACAAAATACTGATTAATTCATTTCATTTTCAGAAAAGAAAGAGACTGGTGTCAAGAGGAAATCCGTAGCTGCGGACAACGGTGAGGAGAAGACCACACCAGAGAAAAAGGCAAAAGTTGCCGATGAGGCACCACCCGCAGAGGCCGAAGAGGCTGCTGCTTAAAACTCCAACCCTCCCATCCAAGCTTGGTTTACTGCAATGCATTGATGTTCATTAGGGCTCAACTCAAAACTAAGCTGATACATATCCAATGCCAACAAAACACAAAGCCAAAAAACCATAGTTTTTATACAAGTTATGTATATTGATCTGATTTATACAAAGGAGTTGAGCTCTTTTGTGACCACACTTAAGTTTAGGTTTATAATACTTGTGTATTAAACTTACCTGTGAAGTACCTGTAAATTGTAAATTAATGATAACTGCCTGTTAGTAGCGCTTGAGGTGTGCATCGCAGTGAACTGATCGCACATTACATGAGTCAGTTTTGGTGTTGTATGCTGTTTTTGCGTATCAGTGTCTATTTCAACAGACTTAGAGATGGTTTTTGAATTGATGAATGTTGACTAGCATCGGTATTGGATAACTTAGTTTCGCCAGTAATATACTGCCAAAGTATTCACCCCGAGTGAAATCAATTCACAATCCGTTCTGTGAACGACGCAATTTAAATAGACAGCTTCCGAAAAACAAGGATTTTTAGAACTAAGACTAATTAAAATGTTTAGATAATTAATTCAGTTGTAAATTTAAGTTAGCAGTTAAACGTCGCACATTTGATATAATGCATAGGCATATTTACTTAACCATTTAAACATTCCTTTGACATTTGGTTATGGATTGCTATGTGAACATGGAAGATTCTCATGTGGATTGATTGTAGTTTATGCAGGAAACAGGAAATGCCCCATTTATTTTTAAACTACACTATGGTTACTTATAAACTTCAATCAGCTCACAAGAAATTATTTATTAATATAAGTTCACATGTGACACTAATTATAAGATTTCAAAATTTACTTGAAAGTTCAAAGTTGACAAGGTGATAGTTCATATTGACATATTAATTCTGTATGCTATTTTGTATTTCTACAAAGTACAAACATCTTTATTTTTCTTATGTCCTGTTTTTCTAATTTATTTTCTCTTTTATATGTGATACATAACATACTTCGATTGTAAGATAACACTTAGAAATGAATCTTAATTTTTATTTCGAACTTGTAATAAACACACTGTTCTGTAATAAGGAATATCAAAATGATTTTTTTAACTAACTTCCTGATTTTTAAAACCTTAACAATTTTATTGATTCGAAAGTACATTTAGTATTAGATATAGTAGCATGTACACTTGTACAGTCATAACACTTCTTCTCTCACTTGTGGAGTTAGTGTTTGTAAACATTTCTGGCAATAAAATAGTCCAATCGAAACTGTTTGTCTTTTTTTACATTCTGACCTTTAGGTAATAACTTTTAACGATATCATAGCCATTGTGACTAATTTATTTATGGTAGGTATCACCACTACGTACACAAATTATAGCAGTTTGTAATTGTCTAAAATAATGGTCAAATTACAAACATTCTGACAGCAAAATTTTGGTTTAGGTACCTACACCACCCAACGATATTAAATACCCTAGATACACCAACACGAACAATCGTGCCCAAAACCTGTCCAAAATGTACATAGGACGATACACGGAGCTCGTTAAGATGATCGCGTAGTCAAAAACAATATAAGTCATTATTTAAACATTGAAAGTCACCTTTAATACAAATTTTACAAGGTCTTTATTAAAACATGCGTCGAAAAGTTATGACAGTTCGTAATGCAAGCTCGTAAAATTTTACGACATTGCATTATGCCGAAAAACAGACCTTATTTCTTTGACTATGCGCTTATAGCAGGCACGGACATCGATAAAAAGAGACTGCTTATTATTTTCGATTAAATCAGTTTAAAGTAGATATTAGAACAAAATTGGCTTTAAATGCGTTAAATTAACAAACATTGATTAGATACCTGTCGAAAAAACGACCCTTTACATGCCCTTTACCTACTATAAGTATTTTATTTTTTGCATTTTTTCACGGAACTTTGGGGCAACTTGACTTTTCAACGGTCCGCGCGTGACTGAAGTGAACCAAGAAGTGCTTACTTACTTGATTGGGACACATTTTGAGCGCATGTGGTGTATCTAGTATTTAATATTTATGGTATATAATATATAAATGTGAAAATTTTGTATATTTGTTACCTAATCACGCGAAAAAAACTAAACTGATTTGGATGAATTTTGGTACGCATATAGATCAGTACTTGGATTTAAGATTCCCGGATAAAAGTTAGGTTGCTGTGAGGCGTGAAGTACTTATCGTCGCTTCACCCTATTTAGAACGCCCTGCTAATTAGCTGCAGTTTACGAGTTGGTTTCGATGTTTGCGCCTAGCCTGAGGTTATTAGACAACCTTATGCCATGGATCTCAAAACTATCAATCACAGAAACCCTGGAAGGTAGGATTCATGGTGAAATGAAAGGACTCGTTTTATGCGGTGAACATGGTCAAAGCTGACGGTACATTTACTGGGAGAGGTAATCCAGCGTCAGGTACGTTCGTTCTAGTCCTCTCTCTTCAGTTGCATTTTTCCTCCGCTGGCTCGAACTAGATACGTATCTCTCGAGAGAAAGACGGTCGAAAGAGAGACGCATTAGTACAGGAGACAACTAAGCGTCAGCTCACACTGAAACGCGACGCGACGCTGCACGCTGTACAGAGCGACTCAAAACATAACTTTATTTACTACGCGAAGAGATACACATTTCATGGTTTGAATTCAGATTACGAGTGGTGCAATGTATTCTGAATTCAAACAATTAAATCTGTATCTTATAGCGTAGTAAATAAAGTTATGTTTTGAGTCGTTCTGTGCAGCTTGCAGCCTCGCGTCGCGTTTCGGTGTCAGCTGACGCTTAAGCGCACCGCACAGTACCTCAGTCTCTCTTCTACTCTTGCTGGCTTGCCAACACCACTGGCCTTGTTCACGTCTAGACTAAAAAGGACTTTACGGACCTATTTATTATGTTCTAGTTTTTAGATAATTCCTGGGGTACCTAACACTTTTCCGGAATACAAAGTATCCTATAGCTTTTACCAGGTTAGGTATAGGCTGTCTGTTTGCAAAAAATCATCCAAATCCATTAAGGCGTTTTTATGTGGTAGAATAGGTAACAGACATAAGTGAAGGAAGAGCTCTGCTTTCTTTAGGCTCTACTCTTTGTAAACGATATTAGGCGTGAAATCTTGTGAAACATTAATATAGATTGCTGGCGTTATTAACTCGCAAAAGAGCTTCATACTTTTATTGACAATACAAAAGCGAACAAATACCTGGGCTATTCTGTTAATTTTTAACTATTCATTTCATCCACATCGGATCCGCGTGTGAAAATTTTACAGAATAGCCTGCTGAGGTCTATTCCCATAGAGAATAAAAAGTATCCTATTTCGTTAGGCTAGCGCCCGCCTTTTTGCATTTTTGTTCATTAGAAGAGGGACTCCTGATGAAATCAAAACACAAAATTATTCTGTTTTTTGAAAAGTACATATACATTTACATGACATTGCTTATTTTCAAATTTCATGCTCCAAAAAACCCGGTGAAAAGATGAGAGAAAGACTTTGTCTTGAACCAGGGGATCCTAGAAAATGTCATTTACTCGTATACCAACCATGGAAATCATTGAGCAAGCTACTCCCAACAACTAAGGTAGTAAAGAACGATGATTTCATAATATTTGCTCTCGTTTACGTCACTACTATTATAATAAGGAATGGCCAAAGACATTTATTGTGACCCTCTTCCATCAAGTACATGCCACGTCATTATAAAGAGTGATGTGTCATTACGAGCGTCGCTGTTCAAACATTATTAGTGATGAGCTTTGAACATCAATAATCACAGATATCAAGGTTGAATATCGCCGTGGAAACTAGATAGTACACAGGACACACGTGTCGTGTCGACCGGGCTACCCCTATGAGGCAGTATGCCGGCAGTAAATGCCATCACAAGACATTAGACAATGCCGTGGAGGCGGTAATGCCGCCAAAGTAACGCTTCAAAATGAGAACAAAAAACCTAAGCATGAAATACCCATTTACATTTTTATTGCTCTTCTCCTTTATTCGCTTAGCAACATTTCAGACAACGCAAAACATTAACGTTTGTATGTATATGTTCATTGGAAATTTGTGTTTCTGTGGTATTTAAGCATTTTAATTTCATTTACGTTTTCTTGCAGTGTTAATTAACGAAGAGAATAATGCACTTGCGGAAAAAGCTTTTGAAGTGGCGAAGGAATACGTCAGGAGGAACCCATCGCTGGGCTTGGCCGTGGACCCTGTCATTGTTGTAGGAAACCGGACCGATGCTAAAACGTTTCTTGAAAATGGTAAGAATCTATATTTTCATAATTCACACTAAAATTCCCTAATACTTATTAGTATCTACTTAATTAACTCACAAAAATAAAATTAATATGACAGTAAGTACTTCCATGGTTATTCAAAGAATCTGTATTTCTGTTGTCGCTGTAATGGCATATGAAAAGGGGACCCCTATACGAGGAACAAGATTTTACCCAAGTTTTTTTCTTGAACTTGTGTTAAATTTTGTCAAATGGTACGGAACTGTACCCTGAAAACTATTCATACTTTGTCAGTTTATAAAGTAAACTAAAATACACATAATAGTCAGTAGAAATTAACAATCTTTGTCAGTTTGCAGAAAGTATAATGACATGATATCAGCAAAGAAAACCCCCCACGTTGTCCTAGATTTTACTATGACCGGAGTTGGTTCCGAAACGATAAAGTCGTTCACTGCCGCGTTAGCATTACCAACTATTTCTGGATCATTTGGGCAAGCTGGCGACTTACGGCAGTGGCGATCTCTCGATGCAAATCAAACTAGGTTCCTTTTGCAAATTATGCCGCCAGCTGATATACTTCCTGAGGCAATAAGGGCTATTGTTACCAAACAAGATATTACTAATGCTGCTATAATGTTTGACGAAATATTCGGTCCGTATTACATCTTATATTTCTTTTATTTGTATTATATAATTTTAAGGTTTCAGAAGTTAAGATAATTTCATCATTCCACAGTAATGGACCACAAGTATAAATCTCTCTTGCAAAATATTCCGACACGTCATGTCATAACTCCTGTGAAAAGTTTCAACAAAGACGAAATTAAAACCCAACTGCGAAGTTTGCGGGAATTGGATATCGTGAATTTCTTCGTAGTTGGCAGTCTGAGAACCATAAAGAATGTTCTTGACGCGGCGGATGACAACCAGTATTTTGGGAGGAAAACAGCTTGGTTCGCTTTGTCCTTAGACAAGGGTGATATCAGTTGTGGATGCAAAGATGCTACAATAGTCTATCTGCGGCCTACTCCCGATGCAAAGAGTAGGGACCGCCTTGGGAAAATTAAAACAACATACAGCATGAACGGGGAACCAGAGATCACCTCCGCATTTTACTTTGACTTGTCACTGCGCACGTTTTTAGCTGTAAAGTAATTAACCTTTAATTTTAGTGCTTTTGCACCAGTGTTAACCTTAGTTCACCACGTGTTGGCGTTTCTAATTTTAACCTGCTAGGTATATTCCATGAGGACTCATGTTTATGAATTTCCAGATCACTACTGGATTCTGGCAAATGGCCAAACGACATGAAATACATCACATGTGACGAGTATGACGGTAAGAATACTCCTAACAGGACCTTGGACCTAAAGACGGCTTTTCAAGAGGTACATTGACATCTTTAGTAGTGAATAGACAATGGCGATCAAAAACGTAAAATGTAATTGAAAAATATTTTAGGTGAAAGAAATCCCTGTGTATGCTCCTTTTTATATACCAGACGACGATCCAATGAATGGGAGAAGTTTCATGGAGTTCAACACAGATTTGACTGCAGTAACGGTAAAGGATGGCGCTTCAATAGGCAGTCGTTCTCTCGGTTCTTGGAAGGCGGGTCTCTCGAATCCTCTGTCCTTGACTGACCCTGACAATATGAGTGATTATTCTGCGCAATTAGTTTACAGAGTCGTGACAGTCGAGGTAGGTAAATGAACTGTGGGTATTGTTTAACTTTCTGTTAGCAACTTGATAAAATTTTGTCAGTTTACATAATAACAATTGTATAAATAATCAACACACTGTTATAACTATAACAGCGGCTACATTATTCATACAAGCACATAACATTGCCAGTATATAAATATAATGTAGTTTTATATCTTAACATAACTACTTATTTATCAAAGCCACCTAAAACTGTAAAATTTCTCCTATTCACTTTGAGCTTTATTTCACTATATATCAGATCCATAATCGATTGAGCAAAAATACATTGTGGTAATTTAATGTGTTATTAAGCTCTGGGTTTCCTAAGATAGCGATGACGTCATATAGCGGTGACGTCATATAGCGGCCATAATATTACAGACGCAATTTTAGATTTAACTATAGGAAACACGCCATTTAGTTTACATAGACAACGTTCTAGCGTCGTTATTCGGCGCTGTTTTACGGCCGCTATATGACGGCACCGCTATCCTAGAAAGTCAAAGCTATACTGTACATTAACATTAGGGCTTACTTACCCTTATTCATTATTGGAAAAAAGTTTAAAATCGATTGCAAACTTTATGGCGATAGATAGATAGGTGTTAGATTGTAAGCACATTACTCATGTGCTTACAATTTCTCAATAACTTGTATAGCAAGTTATAATTAATATAAAAATTTTTTTAGCAAGATCCCTTCATCATAAGAGATGACGAAGCTCCCAAAGGCTTCAAGGGGTACTGTATAGATTTAATCGAAGAGATTCGTCAAATAGTCAAGTTCGATTACGAAATAGTTTTATCTCCTGACAACAATTTCGGTACAATGGACGAGAACGGCAACTGGAACGGTATTATAAAGGAGCTGATTGAGAAAAGGGCCGACATAGGTCTGACATCTATGTCTGTGATGGCTGAGAGGGAGAACGTGGTAGATTTCACGGTTCCGTACTATGACCTTGTGGGAATAACTATTATGATGAAGTTGCCGCGGACACCGACATCTCTATTCAAGTTTCTGACAGTTTTGGAGAATGACGTTTGGCTTTCCATACTAGCTGCATATTTTTTTACAAGGTAAGCGAGTGAGGGTCATCTTAGTAATGCAATAACGATGTGATAGTAATGTATTGAAGATATCTATGTAGTTAATTCATATTCACACTTTCGTTATGCGTAGCAGTAAATAGACTTGTCGTCCTATTTATATCAAGTTCAAATCCGGTATATAGTAACGGACTGAAATATTAAAAAGCAGTTTTTGAATTAGTAGGAAAATAATGATCGCTTATTTTGTTGTAATGTGAAGATAATAATATTCTTTATTGCACACAAAAAAGGACATAAACTTATAAAACTGAAGAAGATTATACAATAAGCGGCCTTATTGTTAAAGAGCGATCTTTTCAGGCAACTTAAGGTGGAAAAGGATTAATAATAGATAAATATAGAAGGTGCAAAAGTAGATACAGAAGATATACTTACATAAGTATAAGAGAAGCACAGAAAAACGATGTAAAAAGAATTAAATATAAGGAAAGGATACCTGCCTATAGCTTTTAACTTGATCGCTAAAGGAATTAAGTGAACGAGCCTTTTTGATAGATAAATACGTATTAGCTTACTAGTCTTAATACCTACGATGAATTGGATGCTTTTTGAAGTTATTAAGATAAATGGCTATTGCTAGACAACCGACAATGCTATTTAACATACATTTATACTTAGTAAAATTCTACTTAGTATGATATATTATGAAACTAGTTCCTTGTAACATAATAGTCATACTCTAAAATTGAAATGTAAAATTCGTTAAAGTAAATTGGTTAAATGTTTCTGTAAAAATGTTGGAAATTCGGAATGTCGTATTTACATTATATGACACAGTACTGTGTCTGACGCCTTTATGAGGTTACTGACTCCAGCTGAATGACGATAACAATGATAATTTTGGACGACAGTAAAGTGTAGTCTTAAATTTACCTACCTTTAGCATATTAAACAAAAGTAGGTACCTACGTTATGAATACCTACCTAATTTATTTTGAGAATCCGTCGTCGTTTAATACTCCTCCTAGCCTAGGCCACGGTAATATAGATAATATTACCGTGCTTAGGTATTATGACATTTTGAATGACTCGTTCATGCCTTTTCGAAATGAAACAGGCTGGCTGGCAATCTGCGAAGCGCTCGTAAAAAAATAACGGGATCTCTGCATGTCACGCATGCATGAACTCTTTGGTGGCTTACCTACCTGTGTTAAAATCTTATGAACATAAGAATTTCTTTGTAATTAAACAAGTAACACGTATTTTTATTGTTTCGATTGGACAACTAAACTTGAATTTAATAGCACATGGCGGGAGCATTGACTCTTAACTACTTACTTGCAAATAGGGTAACCATTCAGGAATTTTAAAAGTCCTGACATTTGAAAATAGTCCGGACTTTTTAGTCACAAAATGGTACCATTACTCACTTAGTTACAATGGTATGGTATTTAAATCAATATGTACTTGTATTATTCATATTCAATGAAATTAAAAAAAATCGGACAATTTATAGATCCGGACAAAGTCCGAACTATAGTCTAAAAGTCCAGACAAAGTCCGGACTATAGTCTAAAAGTCCAGACATGTCCGGACTAATCCGGACGGATGGTAACCCTAAATGCAAGCGAAAGCCTTATATTGTGGTTACTTTTATTTACAAACCTACTTATTAACCCCAATGAAGTGAAAGAGCATCAAATGTACAACAGAGCGCTAAAATACCTACGATTTTTGAACCTCCTCGTTGTAGTCGGTTAATAAATTTGTCGAAATAAAATTAAAAATTCTCATTACTAGACCCACATCTCTTTCTAGTTCACCTTTTTTGGGCCTAAGTTTGTTGGTAAAATTGTTGTTTGAAAACAATTGGTAGAGAATTTAGTAGACAGTACCCCTAGACAGATTTTTTTTTCACATTTTTCATAAAAAAAATGTATCACCATTAAAATTCCATCTTATATATACCAGAAGTATAAACTGTAGGATAGGAACATAACATGATATGATAATGATAATGTATCATAACTTATTCATTTCATTTAATTAAAATAAATAAAAAAAATAACTCAACCAAACGAAAGGAAACGGGATGGTAATACTTGAACAAATGGGATGACATCAGCAAGTTTTCTGTTTGGATACCACCCATTGTGATGGCTAAACTTGTGCCCCAGTTTCTTTATGTTTAATGACAAATGGTGTGCTTTAGTTTACTTACACTGATTAGGTAATTACTTACCTTCTTACGTTTCTTTAACAAATCACTTAAGAATATAATACCTGATGGTTATAATAGCTATGATAAGTAATAAAACTTAGATAAGTCATGTTGCATACGTCATACTTCTAAACTTTTAGAAAACATAGAAAAGCTTAGTGAGTGACTGATCGAGTTCTGTAAAGTGAAGGTTAGCTCCCCAGACGGGCACTCCAATTCGAGCATATAAAATCTGCTATGCCCTACCTCTCAGAAACTCTTATCACAATGCCTTTCAATTTGAAATTTGAAGATAGTTGAAAGACATTTGACGGCCGCTCGGCCCTAGCGATGTGTGATCCAAGTAAACTGTGAATCCAACGATCCCGGAACAGTAGAAAATTATAAGTAGGTACTATCAAATCTTTAGCCCGCGTTCGAACCTCAGACGGGACAAATGTTTGGAGAGCATTTTTCCCATTCCTATCTGTAACGTTATCTAATAAAGAGCCTATATTATATGCCCGACCTGGGCGTAGCGGATATCTCAAATTCTGAGGTATCTGTTATGATACCGGAGGTAGCCGGAGAGCGGCTGTCTGAGGAAGTAACCTATACTGAAGACCACAGTAAAATAAAAATTTTTTTGGTGGTGTTCTGTTTTTGCCGATGAGTAGACCTTCCAGGGTAGGGGATTGGATCAAGGTAGGCAACTGTAGGGTACTGTTTATAGTGTCCCAGCAGTGGCACATTATCAAGATGATAATGATGTTCATCAAATTAATTGCTCTAAATCATGATACTGCTAGATTTATAAATTCAATGAAATTTTACTAGAAAAAAAATCCTCTCGGTCCCGACATCAAATAGGATTCGAACCTGCGTACCTTTCACTATTCGGGCGGACCCTGGACCTTATGGATTTTTTTTCTAGTTACATTTTCTTTGGATTTATGATATTGATGGTTACTATTACACTGGGAAATCCTCAGATTTATTCAGGGCCGTAGCCAGAGTCGTGCTTCGTGATAGGGCGGTGGTAATCAAAGGTAAGGCAAAGCAGGGACGTGCAGTAGTATTGTTGAATATATTTATCAACCGTTAAAAAAAACAAAAAAAAATTAAGATACATATTTGATAAAAAATTTCAATAAAAAGAAATAACTGCGCCTGTGAAGGAACGACATTAAAAAACCTGTTTAATCATATCATAATAATAATAATAATAAAAAACCTACTTACCACATACCTAGTTATTTTATTAGATACCATCAAATATATATAATCTGTATGCATCACAATAGTCAAGTAAGGGCATTTTGCTGTTAAATGAAACTAGGGACGGATACACCCCTCTATTATTTTCTTATCTGATTCTGAAACGAGGTCGAATGGTGGATCAGATCGTTAGTTTAAACGAGTTACGGTCATCGCTCGATTTCAGTTAGTACGTAGAATCGTCAAAGGGACAAACAGTTGCCGAATGACACCAATATAGATTGACTCGTCATCTCCTTTACTTTGTATAAAAAGGCAACTATATAATAATCGTTTATAAAAGGTCATTTGGATCTACCTACGTTATGTACCCAATGTTTTGTGAAAGCGGAGTTTCAGTACCTAGACATACAGATAAAAAAAAGAACGGAAACATTCATTAATTTTTTTTCTAGTTATATTTTCTTTAGATTCATCAATTGATTCTAAACTAGAAGAATTCATCTCGTTCTATTGTGCCGTGCCGTACCACACAGCACAGAACATTTAAAGATAAAAAGAAGAAGATATAGAACATAGTGTCCCACCAGAACTAACAGGTACCAAGCTGAAACCAAACCAGCATTACGGGCAGTTAAAAAAAATCTTGGGTATTTAACTATATTATCGTTTCAACTGCTTGATTTTTTATGCAAAGAAATTGTTCACTAGGAAGAAATAAACTCAGTTCATGTATCAAGCTTACGGTTTACGATTAAGGCCGATGTAGTGCGTTTAATTCATAATGGCGCGTGAAAATGAACTCAACTCACCTTTATTGTGTACGCGCCATCATAAATTGAGCGCTATATAAGTCCGAGGGTCGATCTATTAGGTGTTATATACATAGTAACCTGTACTATGTTATAGTTTGCTAGTCTTAAGCTGCTTGCTACGTCGACTCTGTAGTTTCCATTGCCCACCAATGTCTTTCATCTACCTACATATTTCTTGGATATTTCACCTTCTCTCATATATTACGAAAGGCTAGGCCAGTACTTTTCCTGAACAACTCAATATTTTTATTTTTGACGATGTGTGTTGTATTTTCACGTCCACTGTCCTCTCAGAATACGATCTCGCCTTTTGGATGGAATCCAAATTATAATTTTAAATAAGTTCACAAAATTATATGTTAATAAGAAATAATGTTTTACGTGCCATTATTACAGTTAGTAAGGCCATAATTATATTATGTTTATGACATCAAACATAATCCAAACAAATAATATTTAGAACTGATCCTAAAAAGTTCACTACAAGTAATATTGACAAGTAGAGAAAGTTGTTAGTTTAATGTATTTTAATGTATATAATATCTAATTATATTTATTTATGAGACTGAGTGACGTCAGATAAGAAACTAAATTAGTTAAGTTGGTGACGGTGATGTGAAAATGCTTTAAATGAACTTACACTACTTAATGTCAATAACGTATCAAAATATTCTCATAATTCTGATGAATTGCTATTAATTAATGTACTAAATACCAAGACAAAAAAAGACCGCAACTTCGTTATTCGCAAGGAATATGTAAACATTGTTCAGAAATATCAAGCTTTACGTCCT